TCCCATGCAAAGGACAAAGCATGTCATCATCTTTACATTCTGTTCACAGGAAATTGTACAACTGTGAACGGGAAGGTGATCCAAAGGTACTAAACCCAACTGAAACTGGCTTTTGTTGGCCAAAGAAAAGAGATTGGTTTTGGTGGGCAGAGTGTATGGGTATTCCTGGCAGTGCTCAGGGACAACTCCTGGCTCTGTGCTCAGAAGTGACCCCAGGTAGTTCCAGGGTTAAACTGGAGTTAGCCATGTGCAAGGCAAACATGCGTGTTTACATGTCCATTACTTACTCCTTTATTGCTTCTATAGCCTTTACAAAGAGAGGGTTTATTCTGTGTGGGGGTGAGGGGTGGAGCCATACCCAGCAGGTGCCCAGGGATCATTCCTGGCAGGGTTCAAGAACCATATGCAGTGTCAGGGATCAAATCCAGGTCGGCTGCATGCCAGGCAAGCATCCTGTCTGTTGTACTCTCTCCGGCCCCCTCTCACCTTTCTTTTTAATCATTTAATACTAAAATAGCTTCCCTCACAATCAGGAGCAAAACAAGATTTACTATAAAATTATTACTTTCATTTATAATCTTAATTAATCACCTTAAAACCTTAATAATAAGGTTTTAGAGACAAAGTAGTTGGTTTTGATATATTTATGAGAAAAAATATTTTTAAAGTTTATTTATTTATTTTTTGCTTTTGGGGTCACACACTGGCTCTGCACTTAGAAATTACTCCTGGTGGGACTCAGGGGACCATATGAGGTGCTGGGGATTGAACCAGGTTGGCCGTGGGCAAGGCAGCACCCTACCGGCTGTAGTAGAAACAAAATCTTTTTCTGACGAGATCAGATGCATTTAGGGTGGTATGAGCATATACAAAAATCTTCTTTTTCTGGATGTGATTCTATTCCCAGAAAACCCAGAACACTCCTTGGCTTCATTAGCAAATTTGACCAGGTAGGAGGCTGGAAGTGAAGTATGCAGAGTTAACCTGGAAGAGTCAGTTTGGAGTGGAAAATGAAACCAAACTGCTCATACTTATTGTTATTAATATTAACTGTATTATCTTATAAAATTATAGAGAAAAATTTGATAAGGAAAATTAGAGCACCTGTCTGAAAATAACTTTCGAGGAATTAGAAATAAAAACCCAAGAGATGGAAAAAATACGAGCTGACTTTTTTTTGGGGTGTGTGTGTGTGTGTGTGTGTGTGTGTGTATGTATGTGTGTGTGTGTGTGTGTTTGGCGTTTTGGGTCACACCTGGCGATGCACAGTAATTCCTGGCTCTGCACTCAGGAATTACTCCTGGCGGTGCTCAGGGGACCATATGGGACACCGGGAATCAAACCCGGGTCTGCTGCGTGAAAGGCAAACGCCCTACCCACTGTGCTATCGTTCCAGCCCCTAAAAAAATACTAGCTGACTTTTGAGGACTCCCAAAGTACTTGAGTGCTCATCTTTTTTTTTTTTAATTTTATTAGTGAAACACCATGAGGTACAGTTGTAGACTTACAATTTTTTGTGCTTGAGTTTTAGTTATATAATGATCGAGTACCCATTCCTCCACCAGTGCCCATTTTTCACCACCAATGATCCCAGTATTCCTCCCACCCTCCATCCCCACCCCCCCACCCATCCCATTCCGCCTCTGTGGCAGGACATTCCCTTTTGTTCTCTCTCTCCTTTTGGGTGCTGTGTTTTGCAAAAGAGGCATTGAGTGGCAATCATGTTCGGTCTATTGTCTACTTTCAGCGTGCATCTCCCATCCTGGGAGAATCCTCCCAACACCTTTTATTTGGTGCTCCCTCCTCTATCTGAGCTGCCTTTTCCCCTAGCATGTGCCACTGGCCTCCAAGCCATGGAGTGAACCTCCTGGTACTTATCTTGGCTATTCTTGGGTATTAGTCTCCTATTTTGTTACTTTATATTCCCCAGGTGAATGCAATCTTTCTATGTCTGTCTCTCTCTTTCTGATTCATTTCACTTAGCATGATACTTTCTATGTAGTACCACTTGTATGTAAATTTCATGACTTCATCTTTTCTAACAGCTACATAGTACTCCATTGTGTAGATGTTTGAGTGCTCATCTTAAGTTAATGAACCTTTTTATCATCCCAATAGTGAAAACATTTACTTCATGCTTTAAAAGTTACCTGCAGGTCCTGAAGTGACAACACAGAGGGTAGGGCGTTTGCCTTGCACGCGGCTGACCCGGGTTCAATTCCCAGCATCCCATATGGTCTCCCGAGCACTTTCAGGAGTAATTCCTGAGTGCATGAGCCAGAAATAACCCCTGTGCATCACCGGGTGTGACCCAAAAAGAAAAAAAAAAGTGACCTGGAGAAACTTCTGAGAACATCAGGAAAATTGTGAAATATATTATAGGAAAATTGATCTTCCTTATGGTAAAAGGCATTACCTCTGACTGAATAACCTGATATAAACAAATATCAAGTCTCTGAAGGAAGACCAAACTGCTAAATGGGTCGGGTATATCAGCACAGTGGGAGGGGGAACGCAGAAAAATGAACTGACATAGGAATTTTTTCCTCTAACAAAGTTAAACTTTTTGTTAGTTTTTGGGCCATACCCAACTGTATACAGGGCCAACTCTTGGCCCTGGACTCAAGGACCATATGCGGTACCTGGGATCCAGCCCGGGTAGACCGTGTGCAAGGCAAGAGCCCTCCCCACTGTGCTATCACTCCAGACCCCACACGTTAGGCCCTTGATTATGCCAGACACAAAAACGAAACTGCAGATAAAGATTTAATTATGAAATATGAATCAGTAAGAAGAAATCCAGCCAGACCAGGGCTTTTATCGAGGAGAGAACCAGAGGGTATGTGATAGTAGTAGGGGGCCCTCGAGGGCCGGGGTAGACATGTTGACCCCAGGCCAGTGGGGCCGCGAAGTCTTCTGCATCCCTTGCTGGTCCTTGAGGAGGAGGTGCTGAGGCTGGGAGCATGCTGAGAACATGCTCCAGAACTGTTTGGTTATGTTGCGTCTCTTGTTCACTCGCCAGCAAGGACCGGCCGCCTGTGGTCTGTAACAATAGGTGCGATCCAGAACGCCGTATTGCAAACCAGCATGCGTGCTCTGGTATGTTCATCACTGATTCTGGATTAGACAAATGAATGGGGAGTAGTCGCTGGGTAAAATTTCGAAATCTGTTTCAGGATCAATGAACGGATTAAAGTCGACGTGTCCCATTGCAGTGGGGGTGTGATGGGTGTTGATGTTTTTGGGGAACTGTGTTCTCATTCTTGTCCACGTTGGTCCAGATGTTCATGGTTTCTTAGACCTGAAGAAACTCAGATTCTGCATCTTGCAGTTTGGTAGGTTTTGCCTGGCAGTTCGTTCGCCCTGCACCCGGAAGCATGGGTTTCTCCAAGAGTAAGCTGCCCAAAGAATGACATTCTGCTGTGTGAGTCATGGACCTGGCTGAGGAAGGTGGAAAGCGTTCCCGTATTTTGTCCTCATGGTTATGTCTCACTAAGGCTTTGTGCTGAGACTAAACCTTCAGCTCCAGCCTTGCTCTGGAAGCTGGCGAGCACCCCCAGTGCCCTAGACATTTCAGCATTATCATGAGAATAGTCTTAACCTCTCCCCCACCCCCCTCTGGGGAACACCTAGGAGTTCCCAGGCCATACTCTGACAGAGAAGACTGAGGTTCAATTTCTGAGACCTCTTTCAGGTCAGGCGGGGGATAGGGGGGCCGTTCATCCCCATCCCAGGGGCGGGAGGGGAGATGGATGCTTTCCAGGGCCTGTTTGAGTGGCTTACTGGGCCACCGAGGAGTCCTGGGTAATCCACCTTGCATTGGGAGCCCCCATAGGGGTGCTGCGGCACTCCCTGGACACCTCCTAGTTGCTGCCTGCCCCTTTCTGCACAGACCTGCCGCCTGAAAGGATTTCACTCCAAGAACAAATGTCCTCATCTCCTTGTGTGAAGTGTTTGCAGTTCCTTGGTCTCTTTTCAAATAAGTCCAGGAACAAAGTGTTTGAGTCGTACAGGGAGCACCTCAGAGCGCAGGAGAGGCTATACCCCGACGGCCCCACTGTGCCGCCCAGAACAGCATCGCCCTGGGTGCCAGGGTGGGAACCGGGCCATGAAGGCAGAGCTCTTGGCCGGTGGAGCAGGAATTCAGCCTCAGTGCCCCCGCGGTGAGGACTGAGGGAAGAAGAATGGCTTCCCTGCTGCACACACACACATGTGCGTACACACGCAGGCAGGCACACCCACATGTGTACACACAGGCGCAGGCATGCACACACAGTCATACAAATGCATACACACTTGCGGGCAGGCATGCACACATGCACACACACAGACATGCACACACAGGCACACACACGTACACACCCAAGCATGCACACACAGGCATGCACATGCGCACACACACACTTGCAGGCACATATGCACACATGCACACACAGGCATACACGTGCATACACACGTGCAGGCAGGCAGGCACCCACGCAGGCAGGTGTGTGCACACGTCCAAGTACACACGCTTGCATGCAGATACACAACATGTCCACATAGGTGCACATGCACACACAGCCATGCTCACATGCACGCTGGCAGGCCTAACATGCACAGTGCAGGCATGCGGCACCCGCACACACTCACCTGACGGGAGCCCACTGCTGCGGCCTCTTCCTGAGTCACGGGGACCCTCCCTTGCACTTGGTCCTTCCCTCACTCTCCGGCTGGGGCTGGGAAGGAGGGGAAGCCGCAGAGGCAGATGCAGGCCATGCCCTGGAATTATTCTGTGGGATTCCTCCTTGTAATTATGTCTTTGAAAAGTTGCCTCTCAACTTCAAGGCTTTGCGAAACACTTTCTTGTCGTGTGCCGTGCCGTTTCCTCCCCCTCGTGCATGCCCCCGGTGCCTGGTACCGTGCTTGGCGTAGCAGTGCCTGGTGGCATGCTTTGTTGAATGCCTGACAGCTGTGTGGGTGCAGGACTAACGTGTACGTGATTGATTGCTTTCCCTCAGGGCACAAGTTAACGGACACCGAGAGAAACCAGTTATTAGCAATAGCGTCGTCCCTGTTTGTGGCAGCACAGTTACGAGCTCAGCATTTTCACGGACACGAAAATTCAAGGTATGGAATATCTCTTACAAACGGAGTGAATGTGACAGAGTGGATGTGGGGCGCAGGTGGTGGTGGGGGGGTGCCTTGTGTTGTGTGCACATGACCCTAGTCCCGGCCACCAGCGGTGTCCCCACACTGGGACCCCTGAGTTCAGAGTCAGGAGTAGACCCTGGTGGGGTCCCAAACCCCCACAACCCCCCCAAAGAAACAAATAAAAGAAACAGGGGCTGGAAAGGCAGTTTTGGGGTTAAGATGTGTACCTTGCATTTCAAAACCCTGGCACATGCCTCCTGAGCACTACCAGGGGTCACTCAGGAGCACAGCCAGGAGTAGCCTCTGAGCACGGCTGGGGGTCACCCCAGAGCACACAGTCAGGGATAGCCTCAGAACACTTACGGTTCGGTCCCCAAATCAAACCAAACAGAATGAAGGAGCAGGAAAATACTGCTGATCAAATCAGTATCAGAACAAACTACAAAGATGTCTGACTGGTATGGGTCCTGGATGCTGTGTTTGGAGGGTTTGTGGCTCAGCTTTATTTATTTATTTATTTATTTATTTGCTTTTTGGGTCACACCTGGCGATGCACAGGGGTTACTCCTGGCTCTGCACTCAGGATTATCCCTGGCGGTGCTCAGGGAACCACATGGGATGCTGGGAATTGAACCCGGGTTAGACGCGTGCAAGGCAAATGCCCTACCTGCTGTGCTATTGCTCCAGTCCCTGTGGCCCAGCTTTAAATGGCGTTGCTTTAGGTTTTTTCTTTTCTTTTCTTTTTTTGGGGGGGTCATACCCGGCGATGCACAAGGGTTACTCCTGGCTCTTCACTCATGAATCACTCCTGGTGGTGCTCAGGGGACCAGATGGGATGCTGGGAATCGAACCCGGGTCGGCTGCGTGCAAGGCAAATGCCCTACCCGCTGTGCTATCGCTCCAGCCCGCTTTGGTTTTGTTCAAATGGATATCCCCCCTACTGGAGTTTGAGCATTGTCAGAGGTAAAAAGATGCTCTGAAACCTTCCAGGAAACCCGTCCAAGGAGTTAGTATTCGTTATTTCTGCTTGGTTGCTGTGTTAAACCTGAGAAACATTTGCAGGTGAATTTGAAAAACAATTTAAAAGGTGTCAGTGGATCTGGAGTGATAGGACAGCGGGTAGTATGTTTGCTTTGCACATGGTGACCCAAGTTCAATCCCCTGCATCCCTGTAGTCCCCTGAGCACTGCCAGGAGTGATTCCTGAGCACAGAGGCAGGAGTAACCCCTGAGCATCGCCATGTATTGCCCAACACACACACAAAAACAAAATAAAGCAGAAACAACAAAGAAAAGTGTCATGAAATGGAAATTTAGGGATGAAAATGAGCAGTTAAGCATATGCAGCTGTCCCAGAGAAGCTCATTTACAGGACACAAGACAGGAGGAAATCATGGGCGGGATTCCCGGTTGGTTCTGCAGTCTCCCTTCTGAGGGGGGACAGGCAGCTCTCCTATCTCTCCCTGCGGGTCTCTCCTGCCCACTTGCTATTCTCCTGTGTCCCAGCTCAGTGACTTCACTCTATTGTCGGCGACGTTCCCCTCTCAGCTCCCTCCTCCTCTGTCCGGTGCATAATCCTGTAGGTGTTGAAAGCCAAACCAACAAAGTGAAGTGATGCCGTGTGATTCTTGCTTTGCTGCTTTGCTCTTCTCATTGATGCCCCGAAACTGAAGTGGCCCCACAACAAGCCCAGTGTGTTCTAAGCCTGCTGGCTGCACGGGTCCTTTCGAGAAAACACCATCTTGCTTAACCAGAGTGAGTGTGAGCTTGGGGCTCCCCTGGCCCATCACTGCTGGCTGTGGCGAGGGAGTTGGAGTCTCACTTGGCTGCGGCTCCCGGGTCTCTGCCTGGGTGGGATGGCCCTGCCCCATGCCATCCTGCCACCATGCCTGCAGTTTTGCCTTCGGGCTGCTTGTTTGGGATGCAGAGCTTCCCGGCCCTGACTCACCACTGATGACCTGGGGGAAGAGACATCAATAACGCATCTCCAGTGCTGGGAGAGTGAGTGAAGAGGCAGCAGGGTCAGAGAGTCATGGAGTCAAAGTTCCTGTCAGAAATGGTCATTTTTCTTTGGATGGCTAAAGAAATGTGCTGGACATAATCAAGGTTTTTTTTTTTTTTTTTTTGCTTTTTTTGGATCACACCTGGTCATGCACAGGGGTTACTCCTGGTTCATGCACTCAGGAATTACTCATGACAGTGCTCGGGGGACCATATGGGATGCTGAGAATCGAACCTAGGTCGGCTGCGTTCAAGGCAAACGCCCTACCCTCTATGCTGTTGCTCCAGCCCCCATAATCAAGTTTCGTGCGTGCTGATTCGCAGGGACGGGTTGTCTCCCCAGAGCTGTCCTCGCCGGCTTTTGGTGTTTAATATTCCTTCCAGTTGCTGCAGGCGACTTGAAGCTCAGGTTGCCCATTGGCATAGGATCGGGGACCAAAGGCATTTCCCTAAAGACACAGACTCTGATGGGAGGTGTGGCCATGAATGGGGCAGCTCAGGAAAGCCTCAGGTGTTCCCTCTGCATCTTCTTAGCCTAAGTGCATATTATTCTTCTTCCTTATTGAGGAATGCAATCAGACAGGGCCATTAAATATAGTCATTAAATAAAAATTTACTTTTGGGGGGAAGGAGGTCTCACCCAGCGATGCTCAGGTGCTTACTCCTGGCTCTCCACGCAGGAATTATTACTCAGGGGACCATATGGGATGCCAGGGATTGAACCTGGGTTGACTGCATGCAAGGCAAACGCCTTCCCTCCTGTCCTGTTGCTCTAGCCCCTATAGCATGTCTTTTTATTTTTTTACATTTTGGGTCACACCCAGCAATGCACAGATGTTACTCCTGGCTCATGCACTCGGGAATCACTCCTGGTGGTGCTCAGGGGATCACAAGGGATGCTGGGAATCGAACCTGGGTTGGCCGTGTGCAATGCCCTCCCCACTGTGCTAGATCAGTCCAGCCCCTATAGTCATGTCTTAAAGTCACCTATTGGTCTTTAGAAGAGTTGAGTTAGAAAGTTGAAAGCATTTAGTGGGCGACAGAAGGAGGAAAACAGAATCCTGGTCCCCGAGAGAGAGCGCAGAGGTGAAGGCACTTGCAGTGACCATTACAGTGGTTCGAATCCTGACCCCAGCACTGCCGGGTGTGACCCAGGGCACTGAGCCCATCTTCCAACCACCACCAAAACAAACAAACAAACAAAAAAAACCCCCGCCTGTGGGACTTATGCTTAAGCAGGTGGCAGGCAGAAAAAAAAGACCTGCAGAATATTTTATGTGCTAACTAGTGATCAATATCTTGGTAATGCAGAACAGGAAAGGCTCAGGCGCGAGGAGATGCTGTTTTAATCTGACCGGCAGGGAAATGGGTGGCAGGAGGATGACCAGATGAGTAGATTTTGTGCAAGAACTGAGCTCAGAAGGCGGGAGAGAGTCGTGGGAGTACTTGGAAGAAGAACCAGTCTGAGAGTGGGTAGACACAAAGCCCGGGATGGCCAGGGCTGCTGGGGGAGTGGGAAGCTGCCGCAGGGTCTTGAGCCGGAAAGAGCCTGATACGTGACCGGAATTAGCCAGTTTCTTACGGAGTCAGGAGTCAAGGTTCTGGGCCTCCAGGCTGCTGCAGGGGCGTTGGAAAGTAAGGTGGGGCGTGCGAGTGGCAAATGCAGAGAAAAACTCTTGACCTTTGACTCTAAGCATGGCGGCCAGGGGTGGGGGTGGGGCGGGAGATGGAGGGTCATCGAACATAGAAGACCTCAGGCAAGGGCAGTTTTCAGAAATGTCAAGAATGGGAACAAATGGTACAGCGGGTAGGGCACTTGCCTTGCACGCAGCCAGCCTTGGTTTGATCTGCCGACCCCAGTTAGACCCCCAGTATCTCGTATGATGCTCCATGTCCCCCGGGGGTGATTCCTGAGTGTAGAGCAAAAAGTAACTTCTGAGCACCATTGGGAATGCCCCAAAAACAAAAACAAAAAAAAGAATAAAGGAAGGAGTGATTCAAAAAAATACGAGGCTTCACGAAAAAGTGGGAGGGGAGAAATTGTAGATGGCAAGTACGGGCCACAATCTCAGAAAAGGCTTCCCCCGGTACGGGTGGTGGGAAGGGGTGGCCACAAGTTTATGGAGAATATGATGCTTGAAGGGGAACCTTTTAAGTGTAAAAGTGGTTTGACTAGTATGTTGTCAGCATTTATCCATATTAGTTTCAAAAAAGTAGTAATTTTTATTGCATAGCATTGGTGTATAGGACTGCATCTTTTAAGGGTGCTGTTTCATGTTCTTTAAGGTATTTTTTGTTATAACACAACTACCACAAAGGTCATAATAGCTTTTAATAATAATCATAATATATAGGTCTGGAGAGATAGTCCAATGGGTAAGGCACTTGCTTTGCATGCATCTGATCCTGGCTCAGTCCCTGACTCTGCATATGGTCCCTGAGCACAGAGCTAGGAATAAGCCCTGACGACTGCTGGGTGTGGTCCCAAACTGCAGGAAGATCTGAAGGAAAAGCTCAGTGGGCTAAATGCATGCTTTGTCTGTGGGGATTGGACTCAGTCTCTGGCTTTGCTTGGTCTCCCGAGCACCACTGGGAGGGGAGTAACCCTTGAGTATGGAGTGGGGAGTAGCCCATAAGCACCACTGGGTTACCGCCCTCAGTACACGCCCGCCCCCCCCACATCCTATAATTATTAAAGATAACGGGAAAACCCAGAAAGTAGCCTAGTGAAAGTAATTCCTGCGAAAAAGCTTATACACTGCTCTGAGTTTTAAAGGACATCAAATTAGCACCTTGCCACTCAAGCGGACAAAAAGCAGGACTTCGATATCATTCTTGTGTCATGTATGTCCTCGATAAGCTCTTTCATTATGACAATAAAATTAACAATTCGATGACTTGGCATTTTTGTGTAATAAAAAATAATAGCTCGGGCATTTATTCACAGGCACGCATAGCCATGCTAAGGCTTTGAAA